CATATGGGTTTTTTTCTGCTCTCCTACTCCCCACGGTTAATCCCTTTGGACGTCCGTGACAGTATGTCTTTTATTTAAAGTATATTTAAAGATATTATATTAATTACAACAGAAATCACAAGGGTAGGTAACTGGGCAGTACCTTGTTAGTTGAACTAACAGCTGCACAGCTATCAAAAACGTCCTCATAGTGCATCTTCTGTGCACACATTTTGCTAACTGCCACTGCTTCAAACATTATTATCAGTATTATAAGGACTCTGTAAAGACATTCCTGTGTACTGATATCTACAGAGCAAAAATTAAAAAAAAAGCTCATTAAGTTTGTGTAGGCTAAGAAATGTCCACTGGCACTGTATGTAAACTTTACATTTGAAAAAGTCATAGCATATAAGCTAATATTTACTTCTGTTATAATATTAATATTTTCTGTTGCCTACCTTAAAATAGGCTCCTCTTTAACTTAATTTGTTGATTTGATCTTTCCATGTCAGAGTTGATTGACAAAGGTTTCCCAGTCTTCACAAACAGAATTGGAGATGGCAACACCAGTATGTCGACATCAAAAGAAGCCACGCAATACCTCACTGGACCTCTGACGACCATTCTTATCCCTACTGTTTATACCCTGGTGTTCATCATCAGCTGTCCCCTGAATGCCATTGCAGTCATCATGTTCATCTTGAAAATTCGTCCGAAGAAGCCAGCAGCGATATACATGCTGAATCTGGCAGTTGCCGACTTGCTGTTTGTCCTTCTCCTTCCGTTTAAGATTTCTTACCATTTCAATGGCAATAACTGGGGATATGGACCTGCAATGTGCCGCATAGTAACTTCTGCCTTCTACTGCAACATGTACTGCTCTGTTCTGCTTGTGATGTGTATGAGTGTGGACCGCTTACTGGCTGTGGTTTATCCCATGAAGTCTCTCACCTGGCGCAGACAGAAGAATGCCATGATTGTGTGTTGCACCATGTGGCTCCTTGCCATTGGCGGGGTCATGCCCATTCTCCTATCCGAGCAGACTGCCTATTTACCACGGCTGAGCATTACTACCTGCCACGATGCACTGAGAATTGAAGAGTTTAAAGGCTTCTACCTTTACTTCTTTCCAATTTTCAGCTCCATTTTTTTCTTCATACCGTTGGTTTCTATCACTTTTTGTTATGTCCGTATCATTCGGTGCCTCAAGGCTTCCAATGCAGACAACAGGACCAAGAAGTCCAGAGCAATTTTCATGGCCATTACTGTTTTCATTGTTTTTGTAGTTTGTTTCCTGCCAACTAACATTGTCTTGCTCATTCACTATGCTCAGTTTGCCACTGGATACAGTGATAAGTCCTACATGGTCTATCTTCTATCCATGTGTATTGGCAGTGTGAGCTGCTGTCTGGACCCTGTAATTTACTACTTTGGGTCTTCACAATATCAGAAGAAGGTCTATAGTCTCCTGCAGTGTAAGAGCAACCGAGGGATGGCCAGCAGTTCACATTCAAGAAGCAACCAAAACAGTAAAAAGGAAACCTTGCAGTCCAACCTTGAGCAGTTGATATACAGTAAGGTTGTGGATTAATATTTTATGCCTTTATGTGTTTTAGAAATATATTTTTCTTGAACAATGAAAAAGTCTTACTTTTATTTTTAGACTTAATAGTAATAAGAAAGTTTATATATATATAGTATATACTTGTGTTCGTCGAGTTCTGGAGGTCTAGCAGCTTTTATATTTCTCTTTAAGTTACCGGTGAAGACCTGGGAGGTGGGATAAAGTGATTTACATAAATAAATCATGTGTTCAGTTATATAATTTTATTACACTCAAATGGAATGCGTACCTGGAGATACTGTGGAAATTTTGTCTGTTTTGTGATGTAAAGTGGAAGTCACTGTGTACCTTTTACTTTTATTGTTTTTTGAAAAGCACTTACAGTATCAATGCTGATTCTTTCTAACCCTGAAATATAAAAATAGTGTTGCAGTTCCCCTTTTAACATCAAACACTGGAAAGTGAAATCCAACATATTCATACTGTATACTATATTAAGTAATTACCCCCTTTACTGTGGCTAACCTAAATTAGTGCAGGTGTAAAGAATTTACTTTTAAGAATCACTCAATTCATTGAACAGCTTCTGGTAGTCTGTAGACATAAAGATGTAGAAAGGCAGAACCAGGTTAAAGGTCTTAAAAATTTAAAGACATTGAATATCCCTTTGAGTATGGTTAAGTTTATCAAAAAGAAGTAGAAAATGAATCATCCCTCACAGACACTGCTGATCAGGTTGTTCTTCCAAACTGAGCTGCCATGCAAGAAGAAACTGGCTGGAGATGTGAAGTTAATGCCGACTTTGAAAGAGCTACATTATTCTGGGACATGCTAATCATGAGTCAACAATATCTCAGTCATATTCTCATATAGCAAAGTAGCAAACGCATCTCAAATCCCACCTAGATTTTGCAACAAAAAAATTAATTGATACTGAAAAAGTGTGTCAAAAGGTTTAGTGGTCAGACAAAGCAAAATTTGAACTTTTTTGGTCTAAATCAGTGGTTCTTAACTTGGGGTGCACACACTCTCCGCGGGTACAACATTTCCTTTTTTGGCGTGTGAGACATGCCAGACTGTTTTAGAAGGTAAATCACTTAAGCACAGGTATGTGAATACAACGACTTTGTTTTCTCCAAATCTATGTATTTTAAGGTAATCATAAGAAGTATGTTATCATTCATGTATCCCTAATTTTACTGCAAATCTAAAATTATATATACAGTACAGTAATTCTGTCTCTTTCATTCTATAGCTATGATGTATCTAAGGTTTAGAGAACTGACCTCCTTTGACACTTTTTGATATGGGGTGCAATAACATATTTTGAGAATCAAAGGGTTTCAGGCTGCAGTAGAGGTTGAGAACCTCTGATGTAACTTCAAAGTGTTGAGTCTGCACATCTCCCAGTCCACATCATCCCAGCTGCCAAGTATGGTGGTGGCAGCAGTATGTTTTTAGGTCCAGTCAAGAGTGAGGGCGAAATGCAGTAGATGGAGCAAAGTACAAGCCAATCGAGAGGAAAATCAGCTTCAGTCTTCTGAAGTCTGAAAACTAGGATGAAGATTCCTCTTTCAACAGGACAATGACCAATGGACATTTTTGGTTTTGGATTTTTCTGTGTAGTTTCTTCTTTCTTTGTATCTTCTTTCACTCATTAAAGTGTTCATGATGAGAATTCATGTTTTATTAAAAATGGTCACTTTGAAAAAGAGGTGCACACATGACTTATAATTGAAGAAATGACCTTTGTAATTCAACAAATGAGGGACCTCATTAGAAGGGGGTGAAAACTTTTGCAAAGGACCTAAAGTCATTTTATGATATGCTTCATCTTTGGAAGCTGTTCAAGATTTTACTTATAATTGTTATGTTTGAAGGTATTAGAAATATGTTTTTGGATTCTGCTTGTATTGAAATGTTCTTCAATACAAGTAGTAATAGCAAGATTACTTTTTTTAGTGATTACTTATGGGTTATGTGTGCATGCTCTCATATCAGTATTACTGGCAAGATAAGATTTTTTTCTTTTCATTTATTGTTACTTATTAATATTCTGCATATCTAGTAATATTTTGTGTCATAATAAAGTTTCTTATTATTAGGTGCAAATAATAAAAGGGTAAAAGGGATGTGTTACCTGTTATTAGCACCGGCACATTAATGCACAATGTATGTCTTGTAGTGTGTACAGATGCAAGAGTATTTCTTACTTGGCAATGGAGTAAGATACAAGATATAAAAAGGGTTAACTTAAGTCTGTTCTGCCTGAAGATTGTTCTAAGCAACAGGAGTTTATGTCAGGAAAGGGAGAACTGATAAGGTTTCCAGATGCCAGCCATGAAACCCCAGAGGGTTACTTATATCCCTGACCATTTGGCCAAAAGGCTGTAAACTGGCCAAACACCATGACCTCCCCCCTTTACCATAATAATGAGTGACATCAGAAGCGGCAAGAAAACCCTGTATAATCTGAAAGTTTGTACCTGCACTTCGAACAATACTTCAGTTGTGTTGTTTCTTGCGGGAAACAATACTTGGGCTTTATTGTTCCTTGAATGCAATAAACTCATCTGTTTAACTTCATCTCGGGATCCAGAACCTTATTCTTTCTGTTACAACAGCAATAACAAGTGTATACTGGATACTTCATTGCTTTTACACTAGGAAATTTAATGTCAGATTTAAATACCTTTGTGTGTATACAGTAATTCATTCTTTGATTGTGTAATTAAAAAAACATTGAACATGCCAAAAATAATAAACTGGTCATCATGTGAAACATTACATTTAAGTTGCAGGTTTTATTAATAGCTTACTTGAACTTACCAGTGTGTTCTTCCTCTTCACTTATCTCATGTTGCCTCCCTTTTCTCTATCTTATTTCTCCTCAATCTCTCTGATATCTTTCACTGTCACTGACCAGGGAAATTCTGACACTGCTCAAGCCTCTCAAAGTTTCTCATTTCTACGACACTGGGCACACATACTGTATTAGGTTTCCAGTGGGGCTCACTTTCTGCCTGCTCCACTTGCAATAGGTGACCACAGAGCTCTGTCTTGGATTCCATATTGTTCTCTCAATGCATATTCTCTCTAGGTCATCTCTTGACCTTCCATATTGTTTTTATTCTGGTAATTGTCAAATATTTCTTTTCTTCCCTATGATGCTCAGGTTTCCTCCTTTCTTTGTCTCACAACCATCACCTGGATGCTCTCCCATCACCCATCATAAACTAAACCTCCTTCTTTTTGTCTCACTCTGCAGGACCAGTTCATCCTTATCCCTTTTGACTCCACCGCTTTGTGGACTACCTACAGATAAGCCACAACTAATGCAACCACACTTTGTCAGGTTCAGTTCTTGATAAATCCATTTTCAGCTTCATGTCAGTGTGACTCTTAAGACTTGAGACTTTTTATAGCCGTGTCTTAGATCAGACATTTGGTTAGCTGCCAACAATCATTTGTTTGAGGGAGCAGAGAAACTCTTTAAAGCAATAAAACTAAACTGAAGGTCTGAAGGAACACTAAGATAAACACATATAAATAATCATAGTCATGTAAAAGTGTTTCATAACATTATGATACAGTATGTACCAGTTTCTTCCTGGCTATTCTCCCATGAAAAACATACCCATTCAATCCTTTCCTGGAGACTAAAGTATGAACACTGGCATTAGCTGAAGCAAGAGGCCTGCAGATTCTTAGATGTTACTTGGGAGTTTTTATTGACCTTGTGAATTATTTTAGGGCTGCTTTTGTCGAAAACATAGTAAAACAAGTGGTCAAGACAACCATATTTGCCATGGTCTTGGATATTTTCCATTTATAGTCTCTGACAGCAGATGAATTGAGCTCCAAATTATTAAAAATTGTTTTGTAACCCTCTCCATACTGATGAGCATCAACTACTCTATTACTGAATTTTTTTTTATCATCTCATGACTTTTTCCTAACCTATATGGAGAAGACCAAACTCACAGTTTCTGACCATAATATAGGACAGTACTGCCCAAGTTCAGTCCTTGTCTACTTGTTACCTAATTTTACTCGATGTGCTAAGTAAACTATCAGTTCACTGATTATTTCACACAAAATTATTCACAATTATTATTTTTCCAGACACCATCGAGACTCACAACCATTGAACTGGTAAATACAAATCCTTTTGGTTATTTGATAGTGATTCCTTGTTAAACAAGGGTATTGCAGTAAGACATTCCTTTCACTATCTCACATGTTCACAAGTGTTTTCTTGGCACTGTAGTTTACAGTATCAGAGCACTAAAATATAATTAGGTTTCCTAATCCTAATCCTCATCCTAATCCTCACAATTTTATCAATTCTCTTCAGGTTTTATCACACCTATTGGAGTTTTAGTGAATAATTAATTTGTCCTTAATTGAACAAATGATGTGATGCGATTTTGATTCTGCTGCTGCAGTTGCTGCACTTTGCAATTCCTAATTCTGATTTTATAATTGATCAGTTCTGCTGATTCTGTTTTTCTTACTCAGTCAAAGACCAGGCTCTACACACTGGGTGATAGAACCCCCACTGGTACAGTACCCTACCTACTGTACAAGTTCTAGTCAGGGCATAAGTTGGTCAATAATGATACTATTAAAAAATAGATGGATGCTTCTCCTCTTCTGTAATCATTCCTGGCTGGTTATCAGCCTTAATTATTTGAAGAGCTGTAGCATAGAATTAAGACTTGATAAATTATCAAGGAAAAATCACAGCTTGGAAAAATCAAGCTTGTGTTGTTAATGGTGTTTTTTTTTCACATTTTGGCTTCTCAAGAGTAATTATTATTTCCATCTTCTACAGCACTGCACTCAGAAAGACCAGGCTGCTTTTCATTGTACCTGATTAACAAACACCTGCCAAAAGCAATCCATTTCTTCCTTTTAATATTAATGGTTTTTAATTTTCAGCTTTGTAGGAGGTGGAACCAAAAAGTGAGTTTAAGCATGAGGTGTCATGGTGAGCATGGTGGTGTCATTTTATATATTTTTTATTTACATTTATTGCTATAATGGGATGTACATAGAATGTGTTT